GGTGGGAATGGGATCTGTGGGGCTGGAAGTGAAATCTATGGGGCAGAGGGGAATCTATAGGGCGGCAATGGGATTTCAGGGTCCATCTATGGGGCTGACCCAAATCTATGGGGCAGGAAGTGAAATCTGTGGGGCAGGGATGGATCTATGGGGAAGATTTGGGATCTGTGAGGCAGGAAGGGAAATCTATGGGGCAGGCGGGAATCTATGGGGTGGGGTGAGATCTATGGGGCAGGGATTGATTTATGGGGCAGGGATCAAGCTATGGGGCAGATTTGGGATCTATGGGGCTGAGAATGGAGTCTGGGACATGGATGGGGTGGGAATGGGATCTGTGGGGCTGAGAATGGAGTCTGGGACATGGATGGGGTGGGAATGGGATCTATGGGGCTGGAGGTGAAATCTATGGGGCAGGGGGAATCTATGGGGCAGATTTGGGATCCATGGGACTTGGAATGGGATCTGTGGGGCAGGAAGTCAAATCTATGGGGCAGGGATGGATCTATGGGGCGGGAATGGGATCCGTGGTGCAGAAAGCGAAATCTATGGGGCAGATCTGGGATCCGTGGGGCAGAAAGCAAAATCTATGGGGCAGAGATTGAATTATGGGGCAGGGATCAATCTGTGGGGCAGATTTGAGATCTATGTGGCTGGAAGTGTAATCTATGGGGCAGGGATCCATTTATGGGGCAGGGATCGATCTATGGGGCTAGAAGTGAAATCTATGGGGCAGGAATGGATCCTTGGGGCAGGGATGGGATCTGTGGGGCAGATTTGGGATCCATGGGGCAGGAATTGAAATCTATGGGGCAGGGATGGATCTATGGGGCAGGGATTGATTCATGGGGCAGGGCTCAATCTATGGGGCAGGGATGGATCTGTGGGGCAGGCCCTGATCTATGGGGCAGATTTGGGATCTGTGGGGCAGGAAGTGAAATCTGTGGGGCAGGGATTGAAATCTATGGGGCAGGCCCCGATCTGTGGGGCAGACCCCGCCCCTTTTCCCCTTTAAACCCCGCCCCTTTCCCCTTTAAACCCCGCCCCTTTCCCCTAGGAAGTGAAATCTGTGGGGCAGGGATGGATCTGTGGGGCAGGAAGTGAAATCCATGGGGCAGAGATTGAATTATGGGGCAGGGATCAATCTGTGGGGCAGGAATTGAAATCTGTGGGGCAGATTTGGGATCTGTGGGGCACGAAGTGAAATCTGTGGGGCAGGGAGTGAAATCTATGGGGCAGACCCCGCCCTTTTCCCCTTTAAGCCCCGCCCCTTTCCCCTTTAAACCCCGCCCCTCCCCCCAAGCCCCGCCCACCGAGGCGCTGGCAAGCCACGCCCCCTCGGGGCTCCAGCTGACGTCACGCACGCAGGCGCCGTGATTGGCCAAGCGCCGCAGGACACGCCCCGTGATGGCGTCATAGACTGCCGAGCAGAGAGGGAGGGGTTTAAAAAAGGGGGCGTGGCCAAGGCGAGCCCCTCCCACTCCAAAACGTTTTTATCCCTTTTTTCGCCGTTTTTTCACCGTTTTTCACCGTTTTTTCGACTTTTTTCCCCATTTCCCCCCTCCCAGTCCCCTCCCAGTCCAAACCAGTCCAAACCAGTCACCCCAAACCCCCACTTCCCCCATTTTTAACCCTTTTTCCCCCGTTTTTTACCCATTTTCCGCCATTTTGTCCCCGTTTTCCGCCATTTTTTCCCCATTTTTTCCCCATTTTTTCCCCATTTCTCCCCCTCCCAGTCCAAACCAGTCCAAACCAGTCACCCCAGTTCCCATTTCCCCCATTTTTAACCCTTTTTTCCGCCATTTTTCCCCCCATTTTCCGCCATTTTGTCCCCGTTTTCCACCATTTTTTCACCATTTTTCGCAAATTTTTTCACCTTTTTTCCCCATTTTTTCCCCATTTTTTCCCCATTTTTTCCCCATTTTTCCCCCTCCCGTCCACCATTTTTTCCCCATTTTTTCCCCATTT